AAAAAAAAAAAAAAAAAAAGAAAGCTATATATTTTACTTGGAAATCAGGTTTGAAAATAAGACCATGCAAAATTGAAATCCTGTTTTATATAGCAAAACAGAAATACTGTTTTGGAAATACAATTTCTAGCAAAAGCTAACTTTTGCATCTCCTCAAGTTGTTATTTGCCAGCTGGGACAGCAAGCCACACAGCCAGCRTTACTTGCTTTCACCTGACTTGGACCACGCCAGATGCACCCACCACCACTCTGAGCACTTATTCCCGCATTCCGAAACATACCTGTGGCTCCACATAAGATAACTTTCTTCCAGTTTTCTGGTCGTCTTTCTTCACTRCCTGAGGTTTTGCTTTTTCTTTCTCTTTTGCCTTTTCTATTCTTTCGAGTTCCGCCACATAGGTATCATAGATGTCCCACTGAGRGATRAAGAGAGGCAGAATTTATCAGGACWTGATCATATTCCTGAGAACAGCCATCTACACCATTGCAAAAATACAATAGTCATCACAACAGTAACACTGCTGCTGGAATTAGCTAAACATCTGTCTTGCACAAAAAAAAAAAAAAAGGATTTTAAAAGCATGATGGGGTATGTCTTATTCTAAGAACATATTAATGCATTCTTAACAATTTCCTTCCTCCAACACTAGCTTGCTGCTATGACTCTACACTTTTATTTTTGCAGGACTTTGTATTTGGCTAATTTACCAGTGTTTAATAGGAAACATGCATTAAACATTTGCTTTGTGACACTTCTCATGYGGTGTTGGAAAATTAAATTGTAGTTGCTTAACACAATTTGAATTTGGACTCTGACTCTGCAGCATATGATCAAATGGAAACTGAGAGCAATTTTACATCTTCTGCTATGCCACATGCACACATGTCTTACTTGAGTAGATTGAAAAGTAATTTCTCTTAAGAATTATTCATTAGCATTGAAGTGTTAGTATTGTATCTGAAGCAGGTTTATTACTTTCAGGACAAAACAAAAGGCAATCTGACACATCAATTTAGGATAAGGACTATGATTCAAACACAGAATAGAGACTAGAAATTTGAATAAAGGTAGCAGAACTCTGGTAAAAAGCCTGTATTGTATTGTAAATTTGCAGGCAGAAATAAGACCGAAAGATGTTCCAAACATCAGGACAAAGAAGATGAGAAAAGTATGAGAAGGAGTAGAACAGAAAAGTTTGGAATACAAAATTAGGGGCATCAGAAAGAACATGAAGGAAAAAAGAGCTGAGGGGAAAAAAAGAGTTTACATAAAAACATTGTTTATAGTCCATTGAAAATGTCAACAATATAGAAAGAAATCAATGGAAAAATTGTGCTCTTAGCTGTCAAACATTTAACGCAAAATCTTAGTCACAGCCTAATTATCTTAAAGACCTCTGTTCTAAATCTCAGCGTATCTCACTGTCAGGAAAAAAAAGAAAAAAAAGGAAGAAAACTGCAGATGAAGGGAGAGAAAATCTCAACCCAATTCGTTTGTAATTTCAGGCTCAGGAATAGAATGGACTAGTTTTTAACCTGCCTGACAGAGATGCCAGTACCTGACAGTTTCTCCTGGGTGTTCCTCTGCTCACTGGGAACAAAATTATGTTTCAATACCAGTTTAGTACACTATTTTGAAACAATGTTTGTATCTGCAACAAACACTATTACCTTTTGCAAATACATGAAAATCAATCACCAGAATTGGCTTGATTCCTTTTCCACTGCAACATACTTCATGGGTGAAATTTCATCCAAAATTTTTTTTTTACCTTTTTAAGGGATGCAGAAAATGCTATACAGTCTTTCATCATTACTAGATAGGCACGTTTCTACTACATAAAAAAAGCTAAGCCTCTTGCAACAGGTCTTCCATGTTCCTTATGCTGAAGCTCTCATTTGGTTCAGCTTTGGACTTTAGAAACATGCTTTTGCATACACCTAAACTTAGACAAAGCAAAAACACAAATGYTGCATATGCTAAATTCTTAACATTACTCCAAAAGAGAGCTATKTCTCTAGAGGAGCCAGTACCCTGCAAGCTGCAGCTCACCTCTTGCTGACTCCAAAACTATTCTCACACTGTGGTTTCCCCATTTCCACTCACTAAAGRCTCTCTAAAGCAGCCCAGTCAGGGTGGCTGACAAAAAAATAAACCAATGGAAAGAAACTAAATCAAGACACTTAACCTTAGAAATACAAACCATGAGCAAATTCACCCATTAAGACAGAAAAGAGGGTCATACTAGTTGGTTGTCAGATTCAGTAAAGGAATTTATTCCACTGCAAGAATAATTTGGTTTTAACTTTCTCACACCTCAATTTCCAAAATACATTCTAAAACAACTTCAAAGATGAAAAAGAGATAGATAGATAGATAGATAGATAGATAGATAGATAGATAGATAGATAGATAGATAGATAGATAGATAGACAGACAGACATATACCTGGTTAACAGTGGCTGAGAAATTTTCATAAGGTGCAGGGTCTGTTTGACATCCTTTTTCCTGAAAAAAAGAAAAAGCATGAAGAAGCATAATCTCAGCATTGAAGCCCTTTGCAGGGATATAGACCAGTTGTGGAAACTCTCTGCATTAGTAACTTAATATCCAAATTACTCCTAGAGCTCAGCACAACTTTACTGGTGYACTGTCTACAAATAGATTTTCTTGTGGACCAAAAGAATGTTCACAAGACTGTCTCATTTTTTCCCACACACATTAAATATTTCAGTCATTCATTTTAAAGGAGTTCAAATATTCGATTCACACCTACTATTTGAAATGTTCTGGTACCAATTACGGTATCAGTTATGACATCTATAAAATTTGAAAAGTTTTGTACAATACATTGAAAAAAACATTTGGATACAACATTCAGAAGAAAAGATTTGAACATAATGAAACTTATAAACAATTCATGCTAGTTATAAACAACTGATGCTACTGAAATAATRTTTTCACCATCCTTACATCAATATTCTGAATTAAATTAATATAATTCTGTGAAACATTCCTTTAATAGAACAGCATCTTCTTTCAAAAAACTGTTGTGTCAGAACATTTTTATGAAGCTGCCTGTAGCATTTCACAGACCTCTGAAGTGAGGAAGTCTCAGAGGTGGAAACTGCACACTCTGAACAGCACAAAGGAATACTGYGCAGTTATTTAAGGTCTATATTCTGCTTTCAAAGGCAGAATAATACAGAGAMAATCAAGCTTCTCCCAGTAAAATCATTGGGAAGAAGAGAATATGCAGATCTAGGARCAAAGGAACAAGAAACTCCACAGCCTTGACTGGGAGTTTTGAATGATGCAGTAGCCTAGCTCAAACTTTGTAGCTAGCACCCTGCTGCTGGACAAACTCTCGTGAGATCTGTCTCCTGCAGCAGAGTGACTCATACATCTCTCTGAGTCCATCATACATAAAGACATCTAACTTTATGCATAATGGCTGTTAGAAGATAGACAGGTTCTTTGGGGAAGATAGATATACTCTGATTATAGGAAGGAAAACAAGAGATTTTTTTCTTTGAAACTTGTATTCCTGATATAGAAAGCTCCTTTCTGAGCATTCAGTCAGGAACCAACATCACCAGGGTTGCTCAGTCAATGGTCCCATGAAGACATGCTCAAAGGGAATTGCCGTAGGTTCAGCAAAAAGCTCAGAAGAGGAGCATAGAGTTTTGGGTCTGTACCAACTGGAAAGTGCATGTATAGAGTGGGAAGCAGACGTACCATGTACAAGACATATAGATTTGTCACATAAGTTTGTTTCTCTAGTACCCGTGCTTAACACAAGCACAAACACCTTTATCCTTTTAATACATATAGGCATTTATATCTCTGCCCCTTTAATAAGAACTGAAGTACAAGACCATAAAAGGACCCAGTGACAAACAGAAATTGCTTTCACACATTCCAAGTTCTCAGCTACTACCTTAAGTCCTACCCTACTACCCTATCATTGCTCCATACTTTTTCAGATGAGAAAATAGACATGAAAAATATTATAACCAAGTAGAGGCTTAAGGATTTACAGTACCATCAAAACTTKTTGTATGCTGTCCAAGAGTCCAAGAGGCAAGAAATTTCCTGTCACCATTTTTAATACATCAAATGTTTTACAGTAGTACAGCCGCTATACTTTTTTTCCTAATAGCATCAACAGAGACCACAGGTTATGACACAAATGCAAATGATCTATGTGCCCTCCCCAAGGAAAGATCCTCCAAGTCACTGAAAGAAACAGCAACATACCCGTGGAGCATAGCTGAGTGTAGTTGTACCTCTCTCGATGAAGTTGAACTGGTTTGCAGCCTTCTTCTCTGGGGCTTTTGCGGCAGAAGGCTCTTCTTCTGCCTCTTCTGGCTCTTCAGTTGCTTCAGCTGCTTCTGCCCCCTCTGCCTCTGCCCCTGCCTCTGCCTCTCCCTCTCCCTCTCCCTCTCCCTCTCCCTCTACTGCAGCCTGCAAGAAAACACAGCAGTGACTTCACCCTGAGAGAACCAGTAGCTGGTTCCTTCTTCTTGGGCTGCTGGATTTCTGCTACCTAGTGAAGGAGACTGATATTGAAGATTCAATATTCATTATGCAAATTTGGAGACTTCTAGCACTCAGATCAAAGAGATTCTGAAACGGTATCTAAACAGGAATACAGAAATCCAGGAACTGAAAGTGCTTTAAAACAAAACTTGACATAAATGAGATAATAGAGCACAGCTGCCTTTGGTAAAATGGACTCAGGGACCAGAAGCTTCTGTTAGAGTCCCATTACCTTGTTTTTTCATTTCCTTGTTAGACAACAAATTTCACCTGAAACTTTCCTGAAWTTGATTCCAGGATTCTGACACTGCATGGATAAGAACAAATTTCTCACAGACTACTTCTTTCCTATCAGCCAATCTGCCTATAAATCAGACCACTATTTATTTAATTCAGTTATTCCTGCTGCTTTCACCCCACCACATTACATTTTTTCACCAATGGGCATACTGACCAGAAAGATTCCAGATCCCAGCAAAGTACACTTTGTTTTGATATAATACCTGGATAAAGACAGATTGGGTATGATCCCCATACACAACTTCTGCAACTGAATATTGACAGCAGGGCCCCAGCTGTCCAGCAGAATCTGCAGATTCTCACCTACAGCACTGACATCTCAGATGTAAAAGAATCACAGAAGCAAACCCATTTTATAGCAATGCAATTTAAAAGCTAATACTAAAAGTAAAATGGTCACCTTTCAGCTGACTATGGAGATTTACCTCAGCATCTTCTGTGGGTTCTTCATCTTTAGCCTCTGCCTCTTCAGTTGTCTCAGCAGAAGCCTCCACAGGAGCCTCTTCCTCCTCAACAGAAGCCTTTTCTGATGACAGAAAGAAYATATGAATGAGCTCAGAATAAAAGGACATCTTATCCAATGTTCTGCAGATCCTTGGTGTCTCGGAGCAGATGTATCTGTATATAATACATACAATATACAAATGTATCCTTTCCTAATGCTGTCTCTGAGACAATACAGTAACAAATCCCTGCTTTGGAGAATGCTGGCTCAAAACCACAGTAGGTGACAATGGTATCTCAAGAATGAAACTACAGTACTTCTGGATGAACAGAAATGAAAAATAAACAATTTTGACTCAGAGCAAACTTCTGTAACACATTTCTGATCTGAGCAACTTTGTTTCTGGGTATCCCTTCAGCTCCAGACCTTTCTATGCTCCAAAATTGTCTGCAGTTATATACAATTACTAAGAATGTTTTCAAGACATACAGAAGTTATAACATGGTTGTTGCTGTTTATATGGATAAAAATTAATACAGTAGTAGTCTTATTAGAGAATGATGGATGTCTACATTCCAATCACAGCCTTGACTGTGTAGTCATGTGAGCATCAATCTGCATGAAACTGACTGGTTTGGAATCTATTGAAAACACTGCCAAAAATTCATCATTTCATGGCATTGAATATCCCATTAAGCTTTTTGCCCCACTTCAAATCATCATGCATATTTTGTTAAGTGAAAAATTAAGGAGACACTGACCCTTAGATGTTGTGAGTGAGAACTATTCTCAGGAGCTTACCCAATGTTATCATTGTGCCTGGCAGTTACCACCTTGAAAGAACATTCATTGTGACATAAATTCTCCCTTCACAAGCTACAGAAATACAACAAAATCACTAGGCAGTACATCTTTCCCTGCTGAAAATTCAGACCTAAAACTCTTTACTAACAACAGAGCTTTCTGTCACTAACCAATGCATCTTTTTGTCTGAACACCTAAKAGTGGTGAGAGTAGCTCAGATCAAAAGTCCAAATAGTGCAGGGTTTTGTACCTCAACATTGTCTGAAAGTAGATGTCRTGGTAAGAATTTAAGAATTGGCCAAGTATATAATAGCTTCCTGAAAAAACACCTASTTCCCAAACACTTCTACATTAGTACTTCAAAACATATCTGAAACTTTGAAAGCAGGCTAAGAATGTATGTCAATTAATGATGAAAGAYGTGAAACTAATGGTGAAAGATGTTAAAAAGATACTAAATAACCCTGTAAATTTCAGTGTTAGGGTTCATATGTCTCAAAAAACACACACCATTTTCCACACTGAAGCAAACACCTGGCTGATTATTTTTTCTGATTTTGATTTGCAACAAGGATGCAAGCCAAAGTGGGAGCTGAGTAATTCTATGGTAATGAAGCATGATCATTCTGTCATGTTGAATAAGTGCAACCAGTGCCTATCTGAAAATTATTGTGATTTCAGAAAATAAACCTACCTGATTCAGTGCCTGATCTGATACTCTGGCGCCTGCCTTCATCTGAATCTTTGTGTATCAAGTATCCATTCAAAGTGAAATGAATGGCTGTTTGATCCATATTTTCCACTATTTTGTATGCTTGTTCCTACAAAAAGATAAAAACCCAACAAAATTATAGAATCACAGACTCATGGAATGGTTTCGTTTGGAAGGGACCTTAAAGACCATCTTGTTCCAACCTGTCTGCTATGGGCAGGGACACCTTCCACTAGACCAGGCTGCTCAAAGCCCCATTCAGCTTGGCTTTGAACACTCCTAGGGCGGAGGAATACATCATTTTTCTAGGCAACCTGTTCCAGTGCCTYACCATCTTCACAGTAAAGAACAGCTCAATGTATATAATATTGGTTTTCAGCTGCACCTAAAAGCAATCAGAAGCAACTGAAGAACATAAATGCTTCAACAGTTTCTTCTTAAACATATGACTGCTTACCATACCAATCACAGCATATCACTGAGCCCACTTCAGTCACTGTGGAGAATTTGAAGATATGGATTACTGGTCACCTGTCTATATACAGGTGGAAAGCTCCAAAGAGGAGAGAAGGACCTTATTTGATCCCACAAGACTGATTTCCTTTCTCTGGTAGCWCAGAGATGAGACAGACTTGGCAATATTTTGCCTGTTTTTATCTTCCCTTAGGTGTTGGTTTTGACAGGGATAATTCTCTTCACAGCAGCTTACTATGGGGCTGTCTAAAACAGCTAAAAACAGCATWGATAACACAGGGAGCTTTGCTTAYTGGTTATTSCTGAGCAGCGCTTGCAGAGTTCTGCTCCCCACCCCACCTCACCACTACCTCACCCMTCTGATCACAAGGATATTCCATACCATATGGTGCCATGCTTAGCTGGGGAAAGAAGATTTCCCAAGAAACCAATACGTGACAGGGAGCCCTCCTTTCCTAAGGACTGCTGAACACTTGCCTGCCCATGGAAGCGGTGCAAAATTCCTTGTTTTGCTTTGCAGTTTTCCTTTCCCCATTAAACTGTCTTTATGTCAACCCACAAGTTTTCTCACTTCAACTCTTTTGATTCTCTCCCCTGTCCTACCATGGGAGAGTGAGTGAGTGGCTGTGTGGGGCTTAGTGATCAGCTAGGATTAAACAACAACACATGCCTAAAGTYGGGGATAATTGAATGCCAGGATTGGAGGAGTTGTCCCCATGCCCTTTCTTGCAGGGTGTGTAATTCTTCCAAGGGAGAAGTGGGATGCAAAGCCATTCACTCCACCCTTCCCATGTGTTGCCTGTGTTGCTGGCTGTATAWGGTAGTGGGAGATGGCTGCTCCAGGTTAATGAACACACAGATGTGAAGGTGTGACTCTTGAATGTTTTCTGGTTGGCTGTTGCTCATACCTACTCATCACAAATAAAGCTTGTCAATGAGTTCACAAAACATATTTCTGAGCTCCCCTATAATTCAATCTTCATGTGTGGATACTGAGGCAGATAAACTTTTCTCACAGACTGAGAAAAGTTTTGCCTTTTGTTCTTTAACTGCCACAGAATGCGAAAATTTTACCTGAGATTGGCTGCATTATTTACATTCACTCATAGATCTTACTCTAACTGTAATATCCTACTTCTAAATAAATGTATCAATGCTTTCTTACACATTTACCCTCTACAAAAATCCTTTAAGAACCATTGGCAATAAATAAGTAACAAGAYGTAGCCACATTAAAAGAAAATTTACCTGGTTACAAAGCAAAGGAAAACACAAAACCCATTAACTGCAAAAAAATCTGGTTTTATGGGTAATGTCACACTTACTGTAAAGCAGTATCTGACAATATTCCGGGGAACATGGGGATTATCAGCTGACAAGGTACGTGTAACTTCCTTTTTCAATTCCTTTGGAATGGAAACAAAATAGTACTGTTAATAAAACTTCATTATTAATACAATGTACAGCAACAAAAATCATCATGTTTATGCTCAGTTCTAYGATGTTCAGTTCATTGCAGACACTTCATGTGCAGTGATGCCACCASGAGAGCAGTGCTTGGTGCCAATCTGGCTCAGAGTGGAAGCCGTAASAGTCACCCCGCTTCCTACCACAGTATTTCAATGGGCTTTCTTAATGTTAATTCTTATCTAAGATATGGTAGCAGTAGAAAAATGCTAGCTGCATTCTATAGGGTGAGACAGAAAACTTGTATCTTTAAAATTTACACTGTCCAAAMATAAACAATAAGCTGGGTAGCAGTGCTTTCAGGATTGGCCACTGTGAACAAAAAAAAAAAGTGCTGCTATGAACTGGTTTTATTGCCTGAGTTAGGGAAAGTATATAAAGCTCCCCTTTCAGAGCTASTTGGAGGACAGAGAGAAATGCTAGAGGACAAGGAGAAATGCTAGAAGGCAGTGAGAAGAGAGAAACAATTGCAATTGGAAAGGTGACCAATTGCAGTCCTGCTGACCCAATCCGGGAAGAAATGGCAATAAAATTGTAGGACACTTCTCTGTCTTGTGTATCACMCAAAGGAACATGGAAAGCTTACGGATGGCTCTGGGTCCTCCTTAACTGAATGAAGTCACAGCCCCATTTTCCCTTTTGGATCAGCTCCACACATTTGAAGTGTTTGAAGCCCAGAACTGGATTTCAAAGCACATTCTCCCCGTTCTCCTGTTGAGGCCATTCCAGTCAGTGCTGCAAACACTGTACTTCTTAAGTACTGGAGTTTTATTCATGCATAATTTCCTCCAAAACTTATGGATATGCTACTGCCTGTGGAGTTTTGTACACATCTCACTACAAGACAGGCATTGCTTTACTCACAGCTTCAGTCAGGTCCAGTTGATCTGGGGATCTGACTGCAGCCCTTGCTGCCAATGAATCCTCTCCCATTGCAGTGGACTCATCTTCATCCTRGAACAGGAATGACAAGCTTAGTAGTGCAACTAGACTGTGATGGTTTTGTTCCCTGCCAAAGCAGCATTTCTTGAGGCACAGAGCAATGAGATGAAAACAACATTGCCCCACACATCTTTGCTTTAAGTAGACCAGAAAAACACAAATGGCAGGCCAAAATCAGAAGATTTTTATATGGCTACACTTGCCAGCAAGAGTCCAGTGGGTTGGAGGAGCTGCTGTCTGAAGATAATTCCTGCCCTKTCACAAAGCTGGATTAACTCCAATAACAAAACTCAAGTTATTCTACTTCAATCTCAGTTTAAAAGTTTGCAATTGTTTCCCTTGCCATGTAATACCCAAGGGTATTCTAGGACTTAAGGACTACTCAAGGGCATAACCCAAAAACCTGCAATTACTCCTGATGTGTTATTCTATAAGCTACTCCTAGAATTTAGTTCGAAACAAAGCTGCAGGGATGTGGCTCCTGGAGGAATGTAAACCAATTTCTTGCAAAGGCCAGCATGTCTCCATTCTCTCAACGACAGACTGCTGTTCCCTGGGCTAGCACTGGGTTATTGTCATAATATAAGGTCATTAAAAGGAAAATGAATCACTGCAGGAATTAATTTCAATTAATTGTCCTTACAGAAAAACTGTCAGAACACAAAGCTGCTGATTAAAGCACTTAACTGCTCCAGGCAAAATTTCCCCTCAGTTCAAAATGTGTAATGRGTTGATTTAAAATAAATCAATCATTCTTGTAAATACAGTTCTCTCAGGCCTGCTAACTTTATAGCCATACAAAAAGCTGAGGATTAGTCCAAGGCCTAAGTTCAGCTTATGGCTGYAGCTATAGAGGCTGGACCCAGCAATGGTTTGCTACCTGCAGAGCACCACAAAGGTAAAAAGCACAATGCTGTATCAAAAGGTGCAGTGGCTGAAAGTAAAAGAGAATTTTGCATATGCTAAGTGCTCAGGDAAAATCACAGGCTGCAGCCTTATTTTTTGCCCCAAGGGAGTTGAAATGAGGAAGATATAAGGAAGGTCAGGAGCTCTCATGTGCAAGAGACAATGACAGAACGGTTGTTGGTGATTTAATGCTCCCTACATGAACATCTGCTTGTAGGACATTTATCATACACAATTTGATACCAGTTAGTTCAGAGGTTGTTTTTCCCAGTGAATCAGATAAGAAGTATTAGGGGTTTAACTTTTTTATATATGATTCTCATTGAAAAATAAATAACTTTACATTTGTGCATGAATGTCATTTAATGAGAGCTGTGATTTGTCCCAAAAAAGTGAAAAGCTGTTTACCAACATGCCTGTTTAAAGGCATGTAGATTGTTCTTCCATCCATGTTAATGGAGCTAAATAAAAGGAAGGTAGATTAAATCAGGGTATTCTAATAATTTATTTGCCCAACAGTAAAAACATTATCATTAATCAAAAAAGTTAATGCTATTTTCTCTAGCGCTTGTACTTCTTTGTTATGTGAACACAGACTTTATTTTGAATTTTCTAAACTCAGCAGGCAGCTTTCTCACAGTCTGAGTCAGCTTGTAATTTGGAATTCACACCCCAAACATTTTATTTTAATCTTTTCATATGTCATTTTACCCARATTGTGCCTTTGTTCTAGGTGACATTTTTCATCCTAAGTTGCTGGTGTATATCCCTTCTCAGTGGAAACCTAGACCAACCCTTTACTGCCAWATCAACTGATATTTTACCAATTCCATTAAAAAAGTACTGCTCAGGCTAAATCATTTTTGCATCTCACAGCTAAAGAAGGAAAAAGCATGTTTTAAGACTTGAGGATCTTACCCGTTTTTTACCACCTTTACCAGCTTTACCAGCTTTTCCTGTCTTTCCTCCTGAAGGTCCACCTTGGCCCTGAAGAGASAACACATCCAATGTAAACTTTCCAAGCACCTTTTTTCCTAATTTAACCAAAGCAGAATAAAAGTTTGATGTTTGGCCSAATGGTACATTTTAAAAGCTGAGTATGTCAGCATTCTCTCTATAAATTATTTGAATGAAAGACTGTCACTTTCACAACACAAGACAGTAGTTTATCAACATGAAGAAATGCCAGGCTCTGTCCTAGTTACTGCCTGTCTGTGATACACCTGAATGTCACACATACATTTTAGTTTCTTGGTCAAACAAACTAACAGGATGCCGCTGTTCCAAGTCCTTGCACTGCACAGGGAGTGCAAAAAGGGTGTATCCACACCCACAAAACCATGAGCACTGAAAAAACATGGAAAACACTGATGAGCAGCTGAGAAATTAATCACTGCCAACCCCCCAGCACACTGAAAGCACAGAAAATTTGTTACAACAGAATACATTATCAAGGGAGGCTACCCTGCCCGAGTTTAACGAATAAGAGACAGGCACCAGCGACAAAGCTTTGTGAAAATTTAACCAAAAGTGGGAGAGGAAATTTAGTGGATCCTTTTGAGGAGACACAGAGGGATGGACAGRACCGTGAACCCTGAAGGCAGAGAGTGAGGGCTGATAAATCAAACAAAGGAAACAACTTTAGAAACCTTGGCAAGAACAGTTTCAGGTTGGATCACAAATAACATTTGATGGTATGGATGAAAAAAAAGGAGTTACTTGGAAAAAAGTGTTTGACTTGGTGACAAAAAAGAAGGGGAAACTAGACAAGAGAGACGGAAAATGAAGGGGTGGGAGCACAAGCTCCCACGGGATGATTGATTTTCTTCAAAAGAACATTAGAGTGTGCCTTTCAGCTCAGATCAAAGGTCCACCTAGCCAAGTGTCTCTMACCAACAGTATTCAAAAGCAAGCATATGTTCTATTCTCTCCARGATGCCCTCTCAGCTTGCCACAGGGACTTGAACCAGAAATGCTATCCTTTTTATTTCATATCAGTGAACCTTTTCCTCCACAAATATGTTCAGTCATTTTGGAGTCCGTGCACATTTTTAGCACACACAACTTCCACAGCAAGGACYCCTGTGGCACAATTACATGGTAATGCAAAGAACCACTGCTTGCTTTTTAAGTTTGCCACTAGTTTCTCTCACCTAGTTTTCCTAGTTTTTCTTCTGGAAAGCCCAGCTTTACCACAGCATCKATTCTTCCTCCTCTTTTCCATATGTCTCACGAACACTTTCAGGAGCACAAACATCTGCAGAGATTCCTMCACTCCCCTCATGATTCCCCTTAATTATGAAAATTAAATATTCACTTCCACCACCTACTTCCTATGTATTAAACAATTAAGCAGACATAATGACTTTGACCCAGAATTCCCAAGCATTGTTTGCCAAGCCCCATTACTTGTCAAGACTTCAGACAATAAGAATTCAGAAAAGAAGTATTTTCAGAGGAGAACAAAGCACAGTAAAGATGTAAGGCTGTATCTCTGTGTTATTTCTCTTTGTACAAGCTAAGACACATAAAACTGCTGTTACTAACAAGGCATTAGGGATTATCTTTATTCCAGAAGATACATATTAAAAGCAATAAAAAATGAGCAGAACAATAAATTTCTATGCTTAGAAAATGTATTCCACTTYGAAATACAAATTTTTATTATCCGGGTGGAGAAAATAAAGTATAACATTTTCTTTATAGTCCTACCATGGGCTGGTTGCAGAGCAGARAGACTAAGAGCTCCTGTGTCACAACTACTACTGAGACTGCTGGATCACCCAGCTGGCTTGTCTCCCCTATGTGATTGMTTGGCAATGGGCAACAGAGGTTTCTATCCAACAAGGACTATGCTATGTGTGAATTAGATGTGACTTAAACAGATTTTCAGAGCAGAATTCATTCAGATCCAAATCAAAATCAAATTCTTAATTTTAAACGTGAAACAAAGTCTACTTACTGTTACCCTTTGTAAATGGGTCTACAAAAGCATTTATCCATTAGCAAAGGCATTGACAAGGCAATCAGAACGTAATTGGTTTTAGCAGTAGCACAGATTTCAATTAACATAATCCAAAGAGCCACCTGTGAATAAATTTCTGTAACAGTATTAAAATCCAAAAGTGAGACTAAAGAAAAGCTAGAGCTATAAGTGCACTGGAAGGAAGCAGAAMAAACCCTGACCTGCTTCCCATACCATAAAAGATTTGTAGGATAGAGCATGAACAATTTTTCTAATCAACCAGGGACCTGTCGTTGGTTGGCTCCATTTCCTTTGTATTTGTATAGTGTTATCATAGGTTTATGACTGTAATTTAATGACACAGTACAGGCCTGGTATGACAGAGAGACCCTGAGGAGATCTAGGATATGGAATGGAAGAGTACAGGCAGGGGATGATAAGACATGGGGCACATGCTTGACATTGGAGACCCCACAGTTGTAAGCATCTCACCATTGGCCAGTTAGAGAACTGAAGATCTGGAGACACAGGAACTGAACAAAACCTGGTTTAGGGGTAGCAAAGAAAACAGAAAAATAGTATCTAGCACACTGCAAAAGCATCATATGCAGCAACATCAGGTGTAATGTGGAATACTAGACCAATGAAGGAGGGGAAATGTGAAAATATATTAGCTCATATATAAAAGACATTCTAAGTGAAGAAGAAACCAACCAAAATGGACATCTTATCCTCTCCAATGAAGGTCTTCAGTTGCTGATAACTTGTCATAACATCCCCACCAACAACACCACCAGGAAAATTAAGCCATCATTCTTAGGAACCAGAGGACTGGAAGAAGGGCGAGTAMAACAGCAGAAAATAGGTAGAAACTGGGAAGCTTGCATACAACAACTTTAACCACATTGTCACTATTATTGCTCTTTTTTTCCACAGAAGTACTCTTATTTCCTGTAATGAATACATCTGAACTGATGATAATGTTTAGATTAAAATTTCAATGTTTAGATTAAAATTTCAGTCACACTGACAGGAAATTTTTAGTTTTATATATATAAATTGTGTCTTCTCTTTGACCACAAACAAGATTTTGAGTGCAACAACATTAACAGACTATTGCAAAATAGAGAACCAGGCTCTGAAAGCCTTAACTTTGACCATATGCAGGTTTTTAACTTTTATTAAAAGATAGCTGGGAGTACCAAATCCAGTTGTGTATGACTGGGAGAGGGTATTCAATGAAGAGGTCTCATAGCATCAGCCAACGGGATTTACCATCCTTCTCCATATGCCTCATGCCTGCTTTTCTACCAGCTTCTACTTGCTTATGGTGACAGCTTGCTTTGGGGCTCGCTGGARCTAACTCAAATAGTTCCTTACAGCAGGGAGCAAACACATGACTGACAGGACAGTTATAAAATTATACTTATTATTTCAAGCATTTTGAAGTAAAGAAGCTCCAACCACTCCCTCCAACCTGAGCAGTTATGTTTTAGAACTGCTTTGTTACCACAYAGATCCTTGGCCAAGTGCTGCATAGCACAGATATAGCTAGCCTACTCCAAAAGCAAGCTAAAGTGGGAGGATGGGAACCTCACACAAAGCACACAAAGATCAGTGTGGCCCTGGGGCTTTCTTCCATGTCTGCTCCATAAAGATAGGACAGCCATATCCAGAGCAGGTGAGCAAAGGTTTGTCTGACAGATGGAATGGAGTCTAGGAAGGAGCTGCCTTAGTTTATTCAGGGATTGTCCAGTGAAACCCTTGTCTCCTGCCCAGATAAAACATCCTCCACAACACAGTGAACTACTTCAACAATAACAAAATTTGAATGTCTTATTTGTTGGATATTCTGGACTCTTGTAAGTGAAGGCAGAGACTGTAACCCCACTTGACTCAGTACTCTGTAAAAGTCTGCATAAATAGCAGAAGATAATTTTTGCAAGAATCATTCCTGCTAGTGCTGTCTATGCTGCAGAAAATTAATCCCAAAGTACCTTACACTTTTGTAACCCAACTCAAAAGTGGCACAAACATGAAAAAAATAAGATCAGGAAAGAAGAGATCCTAGCATTTTGGCAGTATTAGCAGTAGGTGAAGGTCATCAAAAGCAGTAGATCTATTTAAAATTGTTACGAGAAGCAAGCTGGGGAGCAAACATAAATCAATCAAGAAAACAAAATCTGTCACTCTGGCTCCTAATTCCCTTAACAGCACGGATAATATTGCTGTGCCACTTGATGGGAAGGATAGCCCTAACATCCCTTTTTATTGGTGAATCTGTGCTYTGTTCTTTTGCTGGGTTTTTCTGCAAGTCCGTGCTCTCTGTAAATCTTTCCAAAGCCAGCACACTGTCGTTTTCCATACTTTTCCTTAAAACTTCTCACTGCCACATTAGCTGTAAAGAGCCCTTCAATACCACCTGGGTAGTTCGTGTTCTGCCACCATGCCTCAGAATGATTGTTATTGCATCCTCATTCTTCTTTCTACTGTAACAATGCATTACCCATGAAGTATGATTAGAAATGTAATCCCCTTTTGCTCTGACAGCTACTTAAAGTACATCACACAGTGTTTGTACAATAGGGGAAAGGTCACAAACACATTTGCAATACAAATGAAAAATAAATTATAACTGGGAATCAACATAATGATTGTATATTCACTAGTAAGAAGTTCACAATAACTTGCCTTCATATGCATGTTTAAAATTCAAACACATTTTTCTGTAGCACATTAGCTACAGGGAAAAAAGTTAACAGACTATTATTAACATCTGAAAGAGAAGCATTCAGAAGTTAGAAAATGTGAGAATTAAGGTTGCCGGGGAAACAATGAATTCATCCCATTGGGCACAGGCATTATGATACACAGCTTAATTCCATAATTACACATTCTGKTTTTTTGTAGGCTTCCTGCCTCACTTCAGTTCTCCCAGGTTATGTTGCTATAGTTTATTGGTTTATACTGCTCAGCATCTAGACTGATGCTGCAGGTTTTTTTTTTTGTAATCCATAGCAAA